GAACAGTCAACCAGAAGAGCCCAAGAGGAAAACACCCTAGAAATCACAGCCAGAAGATGGTACTTTGGCATAGATAGCTGGTACCAAATGGTCTCTCTATCTTTAGCCTTCTCTGTCTGTTTAAAAACATTGACTTTCACCTCCTGCTTGCCTAGGACACCTGTTCCTCCCCTTCCCAATACCTAAGTGAAGTACACCATTCACTGGTCTTTTGTTTTAGAAGGCTACCAATTGTGAGGCCTTATCCAATTACAAGAATTTCAACAGAGACCGAGTAGGACTAGCACAGATCCCAGGCACAGGGCAGATGTAAAGGAAGTAGAAGCAGCTTCACATTCCACTGGTACAAGAGGATTAAGGGGCAGAAGCGCTCCAGAGCAGAGGTGCAATATTGTAATTTGTAGTCAGGAGGCAGACATGCCTGAAAAAAAGGAGGGAAACACCATGATCGTCAAAGGACAATGCCTGTGTTTCCTTTTTTCAGCTATGTAGAATTATTTTAAAGTTGAAAATATTAGGGACCAATAAAAGACAATACCCATCTTACCAAAGAAAGCACAGATAGTAACTGACTGTGGAAGAAAGGGATGGAATGGAACTACTATTTGGAGACCTGCCTGTGGGGGTTGGGAATGAAGTAAACGAAAGACTATCTAAATGTCTAATGGTTTGCAATAGGCAAAAAAAGCAGTATGGCTCGAAACTAAATTAACCATTCCAGTCTTATAAGCATTTCCCCACTGGAAAATTATAGAATTATAAATTTAGCACATAATGGAGAGCAGGAAATGTAATGCACACAGATTTCATAATTTTGTATAGTATTTGAAAAAACACTACTTAGAAGATGGGGTGAACATTATAATGGGAAAATTTTCTAAGAGACCATAATTAAAGCAGGATATAAATGGTGCCTTAGTTCTTGAAAGGGTCACCATCAGAATTCCACTTAGTGTCTTCATTACTAATCTACAGTGAAAACGGAAATTCATTCAGTGTGACGCTGCTACCCTGTGAGATGTTGTCAGGGGGTAGGAAAGTGCTAGAAGAACGTCTGGAGAGGTGAGAAACAACCCAGCTCAAAGAGGTAGATCATGAAAAGAAACCTGAAATACCAAAAATAAATAAAATAACTGTAGGAGAGAAAACTAACTCTCACTGGAAATAATTCTAAAGGGAAAGAAAGAAGTGACAACTATAGACAATTGCTACAAGGCAATAAACCCAAGAGACACAAGCCAGGGTTAATTAGAACAACAAAGAAGACCTTACCAAGGAAAGGTACATCAATCTACATCACAGGTGGCACACACAAGGCCCGCAAGCTGAATCTGGCCCTCCACCTTATTTTATCCGGCCTGGCACCTTTTTCTACCTGGCAACAGTGACAAGCTCTCACTTGACTGTTAAGGAGCAGTTACATTTACACAGTCCCACAATTACATTCGGCCCTTAGAAGACAACCTGGAGGCCGATGTGGCCCCTGGTGAAAATGAGTTTGACACCCCTGATCTACGTGCTCTGTTTTTAAAGAAATCAAGAGTAGCCCTGCCCTTCCGTTTCCCATTCTGCGGGTACCCATTTGGTTTCTGTAGAAAGCATCCTCTCCTTGGTTGTGATGAATATTTCTTGCTAGTAGAGACTTGTGATCTTGTTTCTTAATGATTAAAATGACACAGGAGGTGGTAAGAATGAATAGGAGGGTAAGGGGGGTGCCTGGCAAGCGTGGTAAGGCTGGTAAAAACTGAGGTTATGTGAGGCTAATTACTTTCACACTGCACAAGGCTGCCAGAACATGCAATATTCTGGAGAGGAGAAGCCACCTTATTGTCATCTTTTTCTTGGCATCAGAAAAATACACTAGAATGCTGTAAGAAAGTCCTTTGAAAATGTCCAAAAGTGCACTTTCTTTCTCGGGGATAAGATTAACTGTAATACTGATCACGACAGAGTTTTCCTGAAGCAGAGTTCTTACCAGAACAGGAGGAGAATGTGAAAGAAAGGAAAACGTTGCTGGAGGGTGGGGCTCAATGAAGAAGAAAAGTTGAAACTAGGGAAACGTATGTTAAGGATGAGAACTTTTCGTGAGAATCTTTGTGTGACATACTCACAAAGTATAAGAGGAAGATTTGGTATTTGGGACACCTAAAAGCAAACGTGAGAAAATGCACCACAGGGACAACAGCCGCTGAATGGAGGGAAGAGGGTAAGCACTATATTCGTATTCCACAGACCTTTGCTACTAACCCTCACCGGGGCCTCCCTCCAGTCCTCCCAGGCCCCAGCTCCGAGGTGAAAGCAGAAGCCCTGGACTTGCAGGAACAGGTGCTCCTGACTTACAAGATCCAGAAGAAACCAGTGTTTGAGTCCATGACCTAATCCTGGGTTGCTCATCTTCTTCTTTGTTGCCTTGGACATCTATATAACTTTTAGCGGTAATCACTGAATTTTCTAATGATATTTTCTTGGCAGATATGAGAAGAAAGCACCTATTTAAGTGAAGCTTGGTCTCCCAGATGAGACAGAAAATAGGGGTCCTTGATCTCTTATAGTAATTTAGAGCCTGCGGAGACCTACAAAAAAGACTATCCTAATGGCCTCGGCCTCAGGCGGTTATACTTAATTCAAGCAGATCCATAAACTTCACCTGGACACACGATCTGTACACGACCTCGGCGACCCAGTCCTGAGTAAGAACTGGTGCTTACCTAAGCCATCAGATTATGTCATAAAAATGACTATGTAGGGAGCACTTCCTGAACAAAAGGGGATTTATAAATGAAAAGCATTATGAAAGTTAAAGTTAGTCTCTGAAATAAAAATCTGCTGGATTTTTAATTTTTCAAAAAGCTTCATGTAACAGATGTCACGTCCCCGTTATGCTGAGCCTTGGATATTAGCAGCCTCTGGGCTCTGCACCGTCTTGCTCCTCCAAGGCCCCCAACCCTCCCACAGCCACAGCTAGCTAGTGACCTCCACGAGGTGGGGAAAGGCCAAGCCATCTGAGATTTCAAAAGATACGAGAGTGAGGATGTTCCATGTGTCAAAGTGGGGCCCACGGGTTAGCTGCCTCTTCAAGGGATATGGGGGTAAAAAAAGCACCAGGGGAGGAGGACTGGGCTCGGGAGAGAGTTGAAGGTATCCTTGATGAAGACACAACCGCAAGGTGGTGAGAGAAGGAGGCAAGGCAGGAAGAAAGCAGAGGGACTTTGAAGATGAGGAGGCAGGAATAGATGATACAAGAAGTGCTGAAATTGGTGCTGAAATTGAAAGTCTGGCACTGGGATTCAGTTATTGCTACCATTCAAACTTTTGGTGAATAGCTTTGCCATATTCTTTTAAGGCCTTGCAAGTGTTCGCTTGAAATTCTATAGTGCACTTAGATCTACTTCCTGAGAAGCTACAGGATGAAAGGTGTGGTCTCTGCCCTTTAAGGAGCTCCCTGTCCAGAGGAGGTAAAGGCTCTGCTGGCAATATACAAGCAGGCCAATGACGGACATGGAAAACCTTCCCACAGATGTTAACACTTAAACGGCATTTTGAGTTTACTAAGCAGAGAAGAGGTACTACCCATGATAGATACTCTATCACTATTTATTAATTAATTTAAGTTCATTCTGATTTGTAATGATTATCTTGAAGATGGTTAAAGGACTGGGAGCTAGTTCTCATCACCCAAATTATCAGTTAAGTAGATCTATTTATTTTAGTGTCTAGGAGTATAATCTGAAAAAATACCTTAATTTTGGATGAGGTGGGGAGTGCGCTCATGATCTTTCTAATTACAAGGCTTCTTTTTCTTTTTAATTTGATTTTTGAGAGAGAAGGGAAGGGGCAGGGAAAGAGAGAAAGATAGGACAAGAAAGATGGGGGTGGTGAGGAGAGATCAGTTTGCTGTTCTGCCCATTTATGCATTGATGGGTTGCTTCTTGTAGTGCCCTGATGGGAAAACAAACCTGCAACCTTTACACATCAGGATGACACCCTAACCAACAGAGCTAACTGGCCAGGGCCTATGAGGCATCTTCTTGTTCAACTAATTTCAGAGTAAAGTGTTTTAAAAGCTTTTGAAAAGATCACGATTTTGCTCACTTAAAATATGTGTGTGTGTTTTAGCATAAAATATACTTGGCAGCTGCTAACATAATTGGATGGCTACGCCTTGCAAAAACTTGATTTCTTTTTAATCAAATTTTTAGAACCATACTGGGTTTCTTGCCAGTGCTGCAATAGTGAGCAATAAATACATCATTAGATTAATGGTGTTCTAATGATGGATTGCTTAAAAGATAGCTCCAGCCAAGAAGAATAAGCCCAGAAGTCTCATTGTGCAAAGATTAATAAAATATTGTTTAAAACATAGATACTGTTTTAAATACAACAGGGAAGAACACAGCAAAATAGAAAGGTACAGTCATGGGTTTATAATGTAGCACAGTGATATTGATCACGGGTTTTCCTAAGTACTCTGGAGCAGCCACACTATTTTATATGCCTCTGATTAGACCCAGAGATGAGAAGGAAAAAGTTATAAAAAAAGAAACTAACCAGAGGAAGGCCTGCTGCTATAATAAATTATTTAATGCAAGCAGGGCAAGTGGGTTGTGAAGACAATATAAAACAGAATCAATGCCCCCAAGAATCCCCAAACCATCAGCACCTTTATAAATTTCTTACCACCCTGTCTGGCATTTTGCTGGAGGTATTTTTTTCCCACCACTCTCCCCATCCCATCCCACCCCTGACCCTTGACTTTTTGCCAACTCTTTTCTCAGTGCTTAACATTTGCTTTTCTTCTGTAACCCAGGATGCTGTCTTCAGTCATTTCCCAGCCTGCCCCAGAAGTGTGTCTGTAAGGTCACAGATGAGTGCATCTGTCACTTCATTCATCTGGAACTTAAATTTCCCACGGAAACTGTAAGCTGGGCATATCTAACGTGATACACTTATCAACATGACTTTAATATTACCCTTTTTACTTTTTCTTACTATTGTTATAGTTAAATCCACAAAGTTAAAGCTAGTGTAAAACTTCTACAGCTCAATGCCTGTTCTATATTAGAAGATGTTACTGGACACGAGAAACCAAAGCGAAGGTAAGAGTTTGAGGAGAATTTTGGAGGAGAACTGTGGCTAAAATTTTAATATTAGGAGCTGTTACAAGGGTAGACTGACTTGACAGTGAATTTTTTATAAGTAGATTTTGCTGTGGATGAAACAAAACAAAACAAAACAAAAAACAATAACAACCCTCCCCACAAGACCAGAATTGCAAAATTGTGGCTTAGAAGCTTGCAATGACCTACGACCCAGTTCCAAGAAAAGTAGCATTCTACTGTCATTTTTAACTAGGCACAAATTAGTCCCGTTGTATAATCAGGGGCTGAGATTTCACCTTAGGCTTTTAAAATTTTCTAGGTCCTTCCAATCATACAGAAGCTGGGCAAGTGAAATAAATATAAGCAACTCTATCCTGCCAGCCTAAAAACATTATTAGCAACATGACTCAACAGACAAACAGTACAGGTCTAAAATATTGGTCAAAAAAAAATTCTACGTATAGGCTTTTCTGCCATTGTGTTCTATGACCTTTAGCAAATTATTTGCCATTGTGGGTCAAGGCCGGCTGGTTAAGGTCAGGGTCATTGAACCAATTATCGTATATGGTAGTAAGCTTTCTAAAGGAAATTGTTCCAAGGTCATATTCAATATAAGAAAATGCTGAAACTCTGTAGATGGTATAAATGACTAAGAATAACTTTATTATCTCACCATGATGCTAAATAACAACAATACAAAACACAAGGCCAACTTCTCAGTTATTGGTGTCATCTTTGAATGTGAAAGACAGGATCTAAATATTATTATCCTTTTGTGGTTGCTGTTTGCTCATCTGTAACAAAGTGGGGGAAAAACAATCATCATACTCAAAGGATTGTTAAGATAAGTGACCTATAAACATGCCTGCCAAGTGCTCCTTAAAAGAGAAATTGCTCTGTAAAAATCCTGTAATGGTGCAGTGGCCTGGAACAACCCAAGCTCAGTTTCCCATCTTACCCACATCCTTTTGCCATCAGAGAAGTAAATATTCTGGGTACTGTTGACCTCTGAGAAGTCATTAGTGTTTTAGATATTTAGATGGTAGAAAGAGTGAAGGACATAACTTCTCATAAATTCTTTCTCTTTTAAACCTTATCTAGGAGTCTTAAACTGAGGATTATGCCAGTCTGAAATGGGAGAACAGAATTCAAACATCGATATCACACTATACATAAAAAAACAAATAGCCAATAATTAATAAATCAAAATTCACACTGGTTTGAAAAGAGAGATTACGATCAATTCTGCTGAGATGCTGAGAAAATCTATGTACCCAATTCATTGGACATCTTCTAAGATGACTTTCTGGAAATAAGACTCGCTGGCCCTCTGGGTGGTTGGCTTGGGACACTCCTGAGAGAGGGGCAAACCAGCTACAGCTTTCCAAGAAGATCTTTGATCTCAGGTAAGTCAGTACCAGCCCTGCTGAGGTTCTAGCCCCCTCAAAGTGTCAAAGGTGGCCCCTAAGGAGTAGGATTCTTTTACCCTCCAAGGAGAAATGCCCAGCAATGTGAGTTGGGACTGGCAAAGTCACCCCAAAGCACCCCAAGGACCCACTAGACTTGAAGTAGAGAATAGAAGGACTAAGACTGGGACAGGGTCTCAAATTACCTTGCTTCCCCAGACTTCCTTAGAATTGGAGCTAACCTAGAATAAGGATGACCTAGGCTTCCAAAACACTTCTGAACATAGGACAAAAGGCACCATTGTTGAGGACCGAGAACTAAAGCATTGACCATAAATTTCATAAGGCCAGTAAATACCACCTGGACATTTTGGAAAAAAATACTTGTTAAATCAACTTACAGACTATATAGTTTTTTTATATCAAGAATCGCCTGGGGGTGCTTGTTAAAAATGTAGATTCCTAAGTCCCACCCCAGACTGGAATCCTACAGACTGAAATCCAGCCTGTGAAATGAATTTCTAAGGAACAACCCAGTTGACTCAGATGATCCATATCAAGACAAGAGAATTATTATGACCATGTAATTTAAAGACACTCACAGATTAGGGATTTGCATATTTTCCCCAAAATGTTTAAGTACCATAAAAATAAAAACAATACTTCTTGAGATGACTTCTTAAGAATCACTGCAGTTTATTCTGCATCATATAATGAACACCATTATTAAAATACAATTATGAGCACAAAATTATTGGGAAATATCAACCATGCTTCACAAAAATATTGGCTTTATTTTGTCACCCAAAATAATTATGCTATTAAAGGAATTTATAGATTTTTAAAGTATCAGTAATTTGGCTGCAGAAATTTATTAAGCTGTTAAACCACTCCCATATCCTTTAACTCATCCGAATTTTTGTGATAAAGGTTTTTAATTATTTTTTAAACTATAAGTTGTGAACTCTCGCAACTAGCGATTAGGCTGACTATGAATTTATATCCAAGTTATAAATTCCTAAAAATATGTTTTATCAGGATTACTAAGGCAGTCTTAGCTCTAGAAGATTAAATAGCCTCTACTATATAGTTCAGTTTACTTCTATTAAGGATTTTTTTTTTGGTGCAAAACAATTCAGTTGTAACGCATTCTCTTACGAAGCAAAAGAACACATGAAATACATGCTACTGCAAAGCAGTAAACCAGTGTTGCATGGTGATGTGACAAGCAGCACATTTCTTTTCTAGAGGGATTTTCTTCCTCCTGTAAACTCCCCGTCCCCAAATCATGGCTATTATATTTTCACAAATTGTAGTTTGCCATTTCTGAAGAGTCAAGCACTCTTTTTCTTCCTCATCCAAATCACAAGTTCAGGCTGAATATTGAATCAAAATAGAACTTGAGATGCAGGCTTTGTTGCAGCGTGTTGTTTCTGCTAAGGGTTGCCCCTACCCGTGCTCCCTGCTAGGGCTTGCACTGAAGTGTGCATGTTCTGTTTTAACAGATGGGTCAGCTGGCAGCTGCTGGTCTGTAAAACAGGAACGGGAAATCTACACTGAGTGGTACTGAACTGCATGCTCATAAAGTTCATGGACATACACTGACCCAGACAGACCAGGCAGATCCAGACATGCTTACACGCACTCATTATTTACCCCACAGATCAGAGGTTCATATCTCCACCCAAGGGACGTTCAAGGTTGTTTCTCTCTCCATATACTTCTACTTCATTCACCTGTCATTTTATGCACATGCACATGTATGTACACACACATGCACATCTACATATGCATATACACACATGGATAACTGTATACCTCAATATTTTGATATATTTTCAAAGATCAGAATATTCCCAAATTCTGTGCCCATCTCCAACTTCAGCTCTCATTCACATCAAATAAGAATTGTAAGAAAATATTGTACTCAATTCTATTTACTCACACAAATAAAAGACATGTATGTAACTGCCCTCAAAAAAACAGCTGCTTTTACTCCAGATCATTAAGATTTTTAAAAATCTATCCCAGATTGAATCACAAATGAAGTGTCAGGTTTAACCTTAAATCCTGTTGTCAGTTCTTGTCACAACTTCATCACTTAAACACACAGGTGCTCAAAGCAAACACCAACTGACCAGCCTCGTGTTTCATTTCACGGTCTGGCCTTGTATTCTCTGGGGCTCCCGGCACCGGGACAGACAGTAGCTCCCCCCTGGTTCTAACGAAGTCTTCGGACACACTTTGCAGGTGATGTGGATTCAAGTGCTAGTAGAAAGTAATGACTTTCCAAAGTTTAATATCTGTGCTGTCATTTCCTTTCAGTAACTTTAAAGGACTGAAGCCCCAGCTGCGGAACCTTGCTGGTCACTTTAGTTCTCTGACTGCTATAGACCCAACCTGAACCGGATGATCGCTTGCTCAGGCTATTGATCAGTCGCAGACGCGAGGTTATCTTAGCGCACCGCCTCCAGCGCGGGTTTATTTTTCAGCAACCCATCCGCAAGCCGTCTAGGAACCTGGGCACAGAGGCTGCCCCCAGCGCGCGTGTCGCCGCCGCAGAGAGCCAGGGGACGTGTCCCTTGGCCCACCTAGTGATGGCAATTACAACACGCCAAGTTCGTGGGAACGCAGAGTCGTGTCCCGAGCCGAGTTGCGACGCTTTGAAACAAGAAGTACGGGAGTAGGGACTCTGACGAGAACTAAATTCTTCCCAGCCCTGTCCTCCCCCCAGCGGCCACCCTAGGACCGACGGACCGACTGACCGACTAGCGCCAGGACGCTTCCAGTTCCCCAGCTAGACGAACAGCTCCGAGAGGAGCCTCTCGCTTGCGCGCCGCCACTCACCCTCGTCGTGGAGTCCCGATCGCAAACCAACGCTTCTGCTGCGGGTCCTGAATCCCAAGTTGTCCCTAAACAGCGATCGCTCTCTCGTCAGTGGACCGGGGCACATCGGCTCAGGCAGGCACCTCAGAGGGAACACGACCAGCCCCGCGGCCACCCGCTTCGGCAGCGGCCGGGAGCGCTCTGACAATTCCTGAACCTGCTCAGCGAATGAGGCGGACAGCCTGGCTGAGCAGACCCGGCTCCGCCGGCTCCGGAGGGAGGCGGGACCGGACAGTGGGGGGGGAGGAGCCAGGCTGGGCCGGCCCCAAGGGGCGGGGCACCTACCACGTGACTGGTGGATTCCGCAGCCAATCGTAGTGGCCCCAGGGCTGGTGGCTGCCGGGGGCGGTGACGAGCTTCGGACTCCGCCCCGCCGCCACGGTCCAATAGCCGCAGCCCAGGGCTGAAGGGGAGAGGCTGCTGCGGCGGGCAAGTTGGTTGTGGTAAGAGGGGCCGGGGACGTAGGTGAGGCTGCGGCGGGACCCGGGCGCCTCCTGAGGGAAGTAGCAGTTCCGGAAGGCTGAGAGTGGCCTGGAGCCGCTGTGAATCTTTGTGCTGTGGAGAAAGAAACCCAACCGCAGCGCGGGCTGGGACGTGATAGACAACGCCCACACTTGGCGCCTGCAGCAGGCGCGGAACTTTGGCGGCTTCAAAGCATCCCCAGCAGTCGGGGGAAACCCACACCCAAAGAGGGTGAGTCCCGTGCGAGGTCACCTAACCGCCGGCGAAGGCCTGGGCCCGGAAGTGGGGGCCCAGGGCTCCCTGGAAAACGTTCTGATTTCGGTCTGGTGGTTATTCCCAAAACAAAACTCTGACACCTCCAACCTCTAGGCAAGTTCATCACACTCCCGCTCCTCGCCCCTGCCCTCCACACCGCGTGCAGCGGGGACCTGACTGGGCGCCTAGCTCCCCTTCTGGATCCAGAGTTCCCGGGCACTTTTGTCCCTTGGGGGAAAGGGAGGCTAGGGCACTCACAGTGCCGGAACTCGTGAGACCCTCCCTGCGGCCCGGCTGCCCTGCGGGGTGGCCACCGCTGAGGTGGCTCCTACTGCTCTCCCTTGGGCCCCCCGTGGGGCCAGAACTGTCCATCTTCGAAGTCAGGAACGCCGCCGAGCGTCACATTTGTCCGACTCTGCATGTTCTCGCCCCTTTCCCCTTCGAAAGTCCCTGGATCTAGCTCAGAGACCTCTGTGGTGGCGGGCTTGGGGGCAGCCTGAGCTCGCTGGGTCCGATGCCACTGAATAGCCCCAGAAGATGGCTTTGTGGGTTCGGCCCCTCTGATTGCCAGGCCTGGTTTTTAGCCCTTACCTTGGCCGCAGCACACATACGGAGATGTGGGTATAGTCAAAAAGCAAAGGGTTGGCTGTTGTTTTCCAGGCTGAGGCCTAGAATGTTAGTCCTGAACTATAAGCTGTGGATGAGTAGCGGCCTCTGTGTGCCCACAGCTGCACCTTCTGTAGGTCGGTAAGCAAACGATGTTAGTAAACTGAAGGTCTGCACGGCAGGGAAGGGATCAGAGCTCTCAGGTGAGCTCTGGCCTGGATTGAGTTTCCGATTGTGTCTCCTCAGCTCCCTCCCTGCTTCAGTGGGGAAAGGCCCATAAATAAGGCAGGCTGTCAAAAGGGCAAGAAAATCAGAGTTTTAGTAGGCCCTGAAAAATTGATTAGCGATGCAGAAACTGCACAAATTTAACCCCTCATCCAGTGCACCAAGTCACTGGTACGGGCAAAGGGGAATATTCAGTTCCAATATTTGCTTAGCTGCTGAGTGGCCTTTGTCCATGAGGAATTAGGTGTAGACCACATGAATGGGATATACACCAGGTCTGTCTGGGTCAGTGTTGGGGATTAAAAGGAAAGATACGTTTTCTTGGCCTTTCCCCTCTACTTCTGGATATAACTAAAGGAAAAGTTTGCCAACAGTGCTTATCATATAAACACCTTGTGAAGGTTTTCTACAGATGACAACAATTATTTTTAAAATCACCTTGGTAATAGGAGCCAAATACCATCTGTTCCGTATATTTGCTGTAGTACTGTATTTATGTTAGGCAATGAAAATGGGAAATTTCTTGTTATGCAATAAGTTTGAACTAAGCAAGTGACTTCTATGTCTTGGTTTCCAAGAGTTTCCATTTGTTTGTTCCATACAGATGTGACCCTGCATGAGCTCTTAAATGAGTAGGTGGTCTCATTTTCTCTTATAGAATGGACGGCATAAAGAGACAGAGCACATCTAAACTATGTGTATATTTCCGAATCATCTACTGTAGGAATCGGTATTTGATATGAGCTTATCACAGACTTATCCCTGTGGTTGCTAGTTCCCCTAATAGTCTCTTGAGTTTGAGCCATTCCCCTATTGTACAAGGGAAAATGAGATCTGTTGCTTATCTAAGAGCTCATTATAGCCCTATCTATGTGTAACAAAGAGAAAACCCATGGAATTCTGGACATGAAAGTCGAATTTAGTCCCACCTATTTCCCCAAAGGAAAGTTCTTTCCCTTAAAGGAATGTGGAATTTTGTGGATTGACTTGGGAATGAGAGGACTGAGGTGGGGACCTTGGAAGCAGGGCTGGTCCCTTTGCAGACGGTGAAGAATTTTGCCTAAAGGCATTGTCACCCTTCTCTGACACTGAAACAAAATTTTGGAACAAAATTTCAGTAGGGTGTGACTGATAGGAGCTCTAGTTTCTAATTTGACAGTAGCCATGGTGTGTGCTTCTGGAAGTCACTTAACCACTCCACGTACCCTTGCTTCCTTAGCCATAAAACAGCAGAATAGGTCTACTGTGTTTATCTGCTTAAGGGGGACACTGTGACAATAGTTACAAAGCACTTCAAATTCATGGCATCTATACTAGTCCTGACTGCTGAAAAGGAGAATGAAATGATGTTGCAATGGGAAAATAATGTGATATGAACAATTCCTCTTTATGCTTGCAATATCTATTTATTTTAATCTCACCGGATTATTGTCCTTTCATTCTATACATGGAAATGAGGAAGAGGGGCTCTCGTGATCCATATTGTTTAGTTACCAAATGTTTTGGAAGCTTTACTTAAGTGAATAGTATTTTTCTACTTTTCCATTTTCACCACCTCTCTCAACATACTATATCCACTTTGAAAATTATTCATAATTTGAACAGGTTGAGCTAAAGACCTTAGCGAAGAAATACAATCAGAAGCAGCAGATTCTATTACCAGCTATGCTTCGGGTTTAGTCTGAGGTCTTGGACAAGCCACTAACCTTCCCTTACCTTAGTTTCCTATCTATGAAACTGCAGGGATACTTCTTATTATTAACTTCACAGAGATGGGAAAGATAGCTCATGGTAAGGTACACTGAAATACTAATTGCTGTATAAATTACAAAATACCATGTAGGTGGTTTTTTGCAAATTAAAGTATGGTGTTAGTTTGTATACCACAACTAGAGGATACTTTTGTAACAGAAAGATTACTCACACTCTATCTGTAACCAGGGTAATACCACTCACACAAAAATGATATCTCATTGCATTTGGATGACAATGTAACTACTCCATATGACAGTTATATTGCCACAGGTTCAACTAAATAAAAATGCAATAATAAAAATGTGATAACTTTTCCTTTCCCAAAAATGGGAAAGAAAAGCTTTTATTCCACAAAAGTGGGATTTTTCTCACACATGCCCCAGAAGAAAAACTATTGTACATTGAACTTCTTGAATGTGGATGCCCCTTTTTGAGGACAAGTCTGATGAAAGACTAGAATAATCTTGGAAAAATGGCCTGATATAAAACTAGACAAATTAGAAGTCCACCATAAGAAATAAAAAAATAATCTTAATTCATAACAAAATGATTAACACTGAGGAGTTAGCCATTTGGAAAGGAAAGGTCAAATACTTGGGGAGGAAAATCGATTCTCAACCTAAGTTAAAAATAAGAAGAGTAGGACGTTCTAAGAATCAGGACAAATAATATGGGCTTTAGAAACACTATAGACTGAGGGTGGGACTTAGTTTTCTAACGCTGAGATCTTGGATAAGTTGCTTGGCTTCTCCTGGCCACATGGGGAGGGAAAAACAGAGTGATCAGGTTTTTCTCCTTGGCTCGTTATGAATCTCGAGCAAGAAGTTGTATGTAACTCCTAGCACAGGGCCAGGCTCATCCTTGGCCTTCCACTGAAAATAATAACCCCTCTCGGTTATTGAGCACTTACCGTGTGCTGTGCATTGTTCTAAGCCTTATCATCTAGTGACTCACTTGATCCTCAGGACCACCCGATGATATTGCTGCTATCTCTTTGTCCTCAGAGTTTCTGTCTATGTATTGGGTTGGCCAAAATGTCCATTTAGGTTTTTTTATAAAATGAAAGACACATTTTTCATTTTCACCAATAACTTTATTGATTTGGATATTTTGAGCATGTTAGCTATCTCCTGCTCTCTAGTGGGTAGAGGCCAGGGGTGCTGCTAAATATCTTCCAGTGCATAAGCCAGCCCCACAGAAAAGAATCATTTAGCCAAAATGTCAATAATAAGAAACTTCACAAACCAATTTTGACATGTTTGATCAGTCACAGCACTTTCTTCATACACTACACAAATCGTTTTTTGTGTTTCAGTTGCATTTTTACCTTTCTTGAAATAATAAAGCAGAATATGCTGAAAATGTTATGTATTTTCTTCAGTCTCCAATATTAAAATGGCTGTATAAAAATTCACCAGTTTGGTAAGTTTTTTTTTAAATGCATGCTGATATGACAGCTGTCACAATATAATCTAACAAAATTGTTTTAAATGAAGTTAAAGACAAGTGAGCACTACTAGAGCCATCATACAGAAATAAGGACTATTCTATTGGTGCTGGAGATATTCCAAGAATGTTTATTTTTTTACAGGCAGCCTTTTTCTTGAACATATTAGGAAAGAAAATAACATTTTAAGCTAGCATTGCCTTGCTTTCATGTGGGAAGGGCTAACGTAAGCTTTCCTGGTACCTAGGATATCAAGCGGCAGTGAGCACTTGGTAGCACACACATTACAACAAAGCAAATGAGGGATTCAGAGTTTGGGATAAAAAGGGCCACAGAAAGCAGGCAGTGCTTCAAAACCCAAGCTACTTTCCAATTCTCTGATTGCAAGCTCCTAGAAAATTCTAAACAGTGTGCTCATCATCTGGATGTGGGGTTTAATGGAAGTTCCCTTGAGGCAGCAATACGGGAATGATAATTGGCCAACCAAAGGGGAAAAAAAAGGATTATCCCTTAGAAATGAATTGTATCATTAGTTATTATGAATAGTCCAAATTATGACAGATTCATGTGTAAGTATGCCAGGGAAAAGTAGCTGTGAGCTTTAATACATATAATCATTTATTACCCAAGAGAATTTAGGTGCTAATGTGGATGGTATTGCATCTGTGAAATTCTGAAACCCACAAAGGATTACAAGGTATAAAGCCAAATAAAACATAATACAGGGGGAAATGATCTTGATTATGTAACATTTATATATAGCATTTCATTTTACATTTTTCAAATTGCTTTTCAGTCATTGGTTTATCCTTCACAGCACACCTGGGGAGTACATCCGTGCTGTTATCCTCTGTTCACAGCTGAGTCAACAGAGACTGAAAGAGGCAAAGTGTTTTGTCCAAGAGCATAACAGGGGCAGGGTGAGAAATTGTGCATTCATTCA